TGTGCTGCCACCGCCCGCGCTGCCAGAGGTGGCTCCCCAGCCCTGCACCCTAGGCCGCCGCGAGGGCGCCAAGGGGCTGGGTGCTAGAATAACAGTGGCATTCCTGGCCCGGACAAAAGCTGGCGGAGAGCAAGTCAGAGAGCTGGTACCTGTGCCGGGGGAGCTGTTTTTCAGCTTGGCCGTTTGCCTCGACTCTTTCATCCAGGGGAATATCTGTTTGGTGAGGGCGGAGTTGGAGCCGGGGCCGCACTTGGGGGGGCCGCTTTTGCCCGGCCCGCCCGTATGATTGCTGTTGCTAGTGGCACTGGTGGGCGCGGCGCTGGGCGGGGGCGAGCCGGGCGGGGCAGGCAAGGGCTCGGGGGCCAGGCCGGGCCTCATGCAGCTGCCGTTGAGCTCCTTGCTCTTGGCATGTGGGGTGGCGTTGCCCAGGGACTGCAGGGAGCACGCTGAGCGCTGATAGTCGCCCTCCAGGTGCGTGGCCGCCTGAAAGGGGGGCTGGGGGGGCCCGTCGTAGCCGAAGCCATTGCTGCCTGGGTACGAGGAGTAGCCTCCGAAGAGCGCAGCTGCTGTGTTGTCGTAGTAGGTGGCTTTCTGCATCGCTGGGCGAGGCCAGGGCAGTGGGTGGCAACTTGCAAGGGCTTGATACCCTCAGGACCGGACATTGGCACCCCTGGGGGGTCACGTGACACGCTGGACACCCCCCCTTCCCCTTCTGCCCCCCTCCTCCCGGGGTCTGCTCCAAGCGGCTGACCTGTGGGGCGAGAGAAGAGACACAAGGGGGTGGGGGGAGAAGACTGGGGCTCGAATCCATCTTAGGAACTGAAAAGGGAGCTGACATCAATGGTGGTTTCTTCTCCCCAACGTCGCCGACGATGCTGACCTGACGCCTAGGAGGCCACTCTCCTGACCTGAAACGGGTTTTCCCTATTTCCCTGCGTTCGTTTTAAAGGAAAAGACCCGCCCAGGTTTTCATTTCTACTTAAAAATAAGGAGGCTACTCCGGGAGGCCTCCTAGATGTAGAACCTACCACCACCGGAGCCATTGCTTCTCTCCTGCTTGCACACTAGCCCCTGACCTCTCCTCCTCCCTCCTGCCCCCCCCCAACTCTGCGATAGGGTGGCTTAAGGAGGGGGGGATAGGAGACTCCAAAATAAAAGCGTCATCAGCCCTCTCTCTGGAGCTGAGGCGCCTCTCTGCTTCTCTCCAAGCTCCAGATCTCCCTTACCCAGCCTGAGTGCAGCCTCCCAGACAACCCGCCGACCAACAGAGACTGGAGAAGAGGGACCTCTTCTATAAGGGACCCTCTCCTCCTCCTCATGAAGACAACCACCGCAAAGAGCCTGACCAAGAAACTTCCAGAAGCCTTTTAACCTGCCAAGCCAACAAGTCTCCTCCAAAGCCCTCCAGGCAGGTACCACCATCTTCCATCTGACTCTGCTGAGCCCAATCTGCCCCACCACACCACACACACACACACACACACACCAGCTAGCAGACCCCCTGGAGTCCCCAAATGGAGTGGAATCCTTTGGCTTTTCCTAGCTGGCTGCTTGGTGCTGTGACCATTTGGCTCAAATCTCTCCTTTCCTTTCCTTTTTTGCCCCTAGCCCACTTCATTTTTCTCCCACCCTTCCCTTGACAATCTGTTTTCTTTGGATTCTCCAAAAGAAGAAAGAACTAGAGAAAAAATTGGGGATATCATGGCTGCACTTTTCTACCAAGAGGCCTGGAAAGTGCTCTTTAAGAGAAAAGTATTCCCTAGGAGACAAAAAAGTGTCAACAAAACAACAACGTGAACCATATTATTCACTGGTGTGAAAGCAGATGGTGCCCCTGTTTACTAGGGTTGTTCCAGGGCAAGAAGGAGAAACAAAACAATCAATATTTTTATGCAGGGTTTTTTTTTAATCTTCCAGGAAAATAAAGTTCCAAGCTGTCATAAGATTTTGTGTATTGTTCTGAAACTTCTGACTACTTTTTTCTCTGGCTCTCCCCCGTCTTCCTCACCACAGTCTAACCCTCTTTTCTGACATGTGTGTTTGAAACACTTAAATCTCCTTCAGCCCAGGTGGTGAGTTGGAAAGAAAACTTTTCTGAAAACAGGAAAATAAAATATAAGGAGGGCAGGTGAGGAAGTCCCTCCCACACATAAATCCCCATCTTAATGGCACAGATTTATACTCAAAAGGGAGCCCTGGTAGCCCCCCCAGGGTCCCCCACTGGTTTCTGGGAAGATTTGTTTCTGGGAAATACAGCAGCAGGTCCTTCCAGGGAGCACTGGAGTTCAATTGCCCAGGCTGACCCACTCCCTTTATTATTATTACCATTAGCCTCTGATGATTTCACCAAAATTAGCTTCTGAGCAGCCCTGGCTGAAGGAGGAATTAATTAACAGGCATCCGTTGAGTTTGTTATTAATAGATAGAGAAGAGAATGAAATAAAAACGTTGGAGGGGGTTGGCTGGCTGGGCCCTAGCTTTATTTAGTCTCATGATTGTTACAGCAATAATGATGATGATGATGATAATAAAACAATAATTTGACTAGACGCCTGGGGCTGAAATCCCTGTCGCTTCCCCCCACCCCCGCCCCCTGCAATAAACCCCAAGCCCTCGTAGGACTGAGGCCAGGCGAGTGTGGGAACCAAAGAGCCAGAGACCTGATGGGAAAGAATGGGACTATGCCGGCAGCCAGGCAGGGCCGGGAAGGTTTGTGCACCGGGTTCGCCCCCGGCTGTCGCCCCCGGGCTGTCTCCGGCCGCCGCTACCGCGGGCGGCTGGCGTTAAGGTACCAGCCGCCGATGCAGGGCCCGAGGAGCCGCGGAGAAAACCATCCGGACGCCGAGACGCTTAGAGGCTGCGGGTCCCGAGCGCACCGGGCCGGCCGAAGACCGAGCCCCGCAGGCGGCAGCAAGTTTGGGCGCCGAAGGTAACCGAATTAAAAGGCGCCTTCACAACTCTGCTCCGGGACTTTGCGGGGGGCCTTGGTCTGGGCCCGAGGGCGCCCGGGCCTGGCGGATGGGACCTTGAAAGGAGGGAAGTGTGCTCAGGGGATCGGGAATCTGGGGATCCAGAAGAGGGGGTGGGGAGCAGCTCTACCAAGCCAGACATGTCTCTATCCCTTGCCTCCATGTTGGAAAAATTCAGGCTCCATCTGGCTCCTCGGGAGGGAAGGAGGGAGGGAGTTGGTGGCGCCCGGCTTTCCCCCTGGGTCTCGCTGGAGAAGAGAGGTGAGCTTCTCCCCAAGAACCTCACCCTGCCAGACACAGCCGCCCCCTCCCCCGATCCGGGGAGGGTAACAATAGCTGGGGAAGCCCCCCCCCCGGGGGACAGGCCCACCTTCCAGGATCTAAAAATATTAAGGGAAGAAAAATAAAAGAAAGAGAAAGAGGAAGGTTAAGCTCTTCTTAGCAGCCGGGGGAAATGCAGCCCTGGCTCTGGCTGCTGAAAGAACAGAGGGGAGAAAAGAAGCAGCAAGAGAGAGGGAGAGGGAGAGAGGGAGAGAGAGAGGGAGGGAGGGAGGGAGAGAGAGAGAGGGAGAGAGAGTCGCTGCGTGGAAGGAAGCTTAAAGCTTGTGAACTCTTCTTGAACCGAGATTGGAGTCATATGGGCCATAAATCATTGAGACATACTCTCCGCCATTCACAAACTGATAGCCTATTTCAGTCCAGCTTACCTTAGCCACCGACGAGGGGAGCACAGGCAGACATAATATATATTCACATCGAGCCCCAGCGCGAGCGGCAGGCGAGAAATCTCCCCTCCTTGAAGGCAAAGGAAAAAAAAGCCCACTGTTTAAAGCTGCGTCGCGCCCCCCCCCCGCCCCCCAATAGCCACCCCGGCTGGGGAGCCCGAGGGGCAGAGCGGCCGGAGGAGCCGCGCGGCGTCCGCTTCAATTCACTCGGCTTAGGAGCTGGGGGGTGCGCAGCAGGGAGGGGGTGGGGGAGCGGGAAAAAAATAGAAGGAGAGCGGCAAGGTGCCCAGGCGGCTGGGCGCGCGGAGGATCCAGCTCCCGGCTCCCGCCCGGCCAAGCCGCCACAGTGCGGTTGCCCTATAAGACTGGTACGCCCTACACTCCGTAACAATGGCCTCTGCTTTTGCACAGGGAGAAAGGGAAAAAAAAAAAGCACACTCACACACACACACACACACACACAAGCTTCCACACACACCCCCACCTCTCCCCCTTTAGCAAGCTTAGATGCCTGATAGAGAAGGAAGAAGGTGATGGTGGTGATGGGATGGAGGAAGGGGGGGTGTTAAAATAGTCAACACCCCCCTCCAAAAAAAAGGATTGAGAAAGGAAGGCAAGTAGACGGTCTAGTATTATTATGACTATTTTTAAGCACAGATAAATTTTGAAATGGAGAATTTTGGGGGGCCAACCGGGGAGAAGAGCAAAAGCGAGGCAAAGCCCAGGCGTCACAGCTCCTCCTCCCACACTCACTAGTGAACCATTATGCTAATTTGAGAAGTGGCATTGGGAGGCCTTGTCAAAGGCGCTGGGCTGCCTAGGGGTGGGGGTGCTGGGTACCCCTCCTCGTTCATTCGCAGTTGGAACGAGAGGACTTTTTTTTTAAGTAGTTTCAGTCTGGCCGGACTGGTGGCTGGGTCGTCCGCCCTCTGGCTGTGACTCCTTCCCAAGTCCATGCTTCTTCCTTCCTGCCTGCCCACTTTCTCCATCCCTCCCTCTTCTCCCAAATCTCCCTGCTGAACGACTCTCCCACTCCGGGAGGGGAGGGGGAAGGCCCGGGGTTTTTTTAGGATTATTGTATTGGACCACCACTTTTTGTTTTTGAGAGCAAACAACAAGCGGTGAGTGGTGGTGGAAACCCAGAATATTTTGCAGGGGAGGGGGACGGGTTGAAGGTGACAGAAGGAGGGCCTTGTGTTTCGCTGGAGTTCCAGACTCGGCTGGCTGGCAGGAGACGCTGGTGGGCACAACCGCGGGGTGAAGTTTCTGTAAAGAGTCTCACCTCCTCCGGAGGCAGAAAGGGCTAGGAGGTGAGGAGGACCTTTGTATGATGAAGAAGTGGAGAAGACCGAGTGAGGTGACTGAGAGGAGATCGCACTGACAGGAGAGGAGGAGGTTGGGGGGTTGTTTCCCCCTGTTCTGCACCATCTACCACTCTTGGCACAAGTGAGGAGAGCGATGAAAGCGGAACTTTTTACAGGGTGTGTTCGAGAAGGAACTTTAAGGGTGTGTCTGCAGGAAAAGGCAAAGCAGAGGCCTGTAGGAGGAAGACAGCAGCCAAGAATGTAGTTGTCTGCAGTTCTTGGGCGGGGGTGGGGTAGGGAAGAGCCATTCCCAAACGGAAGACAAAGAAGGAAAGAAAGAAAAATCACCAGGACATTTATTTTCCCAAAGCAGGAGTGTTTGCAACTATGACGAAATGCTGACTCGGGGTTTAGGGAATAAAATAGAAGGCAGATTCTTCTTCTTTTTTTTTTCTTTCTTCTTTTCACAAAGACAGCTTGGGAAACTGGTTCTATTAAGCTGGTGGATCTGGTCCCTACCCGTCATTCCTGGATTAGGCTACTTGTCTGGCTTTTGCCTTCCCTCATCTGGATGTACCGGGAGCGGAGCTGGGGCTGGGGAGGACAAAGGTGAGAGCCGGTTTCCTGCTATTGTTTCCCTCCAGGAGAGTTTCCTCCCCAGGCCAGGTGGGCTGTGGCTGGGAAAGCTTCCCTCCCACCTTCTGGATCCCTGCTTCAGCTGAGAAAGGCCCTGGCTTCCAGCCTCCATGTCTTCCAGACTGGATGGACAAGAAGAGCAGCCCGTTTCCTGGGGCTCTACTGAAGAGGGGTACCCACCCTCTGGCTTCCCTACCCTCCAGCAACAGCGGCTGCCTGCAGATCTGAAGAGGACCCTGCCGCCTGCCTGGAGAGCTTGTAGCTTGAGGGGACTGGGGAAGAAGCCCTGGGGTGGAGGATGGAAACCATTTTTCTGTGTTTACTAGTAATTTCAAGAGAAGGAAAGAGCTCAGGCCAGACACAGTGCTGGGGTTCCGAGAGACCTGTGAGGCTTGCCTGTGTGTGCGGCTGCAAGAAGTCTGTTCTAAGATCTCCAGACCCCAGTTAGAGACCTATAGGGTTAGTTAGATGTGGAGTAGGAGATGAGTGGGGGGTCTTGGACCAGGGACTTGCCCTGAGGCTTAGGGGAAACCAGTGTTTAAAAAATTTTTCTTTTAAGTCAAGAATGGCTCTTTAGGCCACCAGCTGTCCCGGCTGTTGCTACCACTTGCTAAAAAAAGTTACAGTAAAATCCAGAGAAGAGAACTTGGTTGGTTGGTTGCTTGGCTGTGGGTGGGAGGGAGAAGCACAGCTTTCCCACGAGGAATAAAAAGAGAGCTAGACGGTGGTCCCTAGCCAGCTATGGCCCTGCAAGAGGAGCAGGCTTGTAGCTGAGTGGGGGCTTGGGAGTTTTCCAGAGTCCGCAGCAAACCCTCTAACCCTGTCTGGGAACCACGGCAACCCGTGGTGATGCCTTCTGGGGACACAAAGTGGTAGATGCCATGGTGTGGGCCCAGAAAGGAGGACTGGGGAGCAAGAAAGCATACTTGGGGAAATTTTTGCGAGGACATGCACCCACAAATTCGGTTGGAGATGGAGGGGTGCTTTTTCATTCATTAGAGAACACAGGACCTATTTGGAAGCAAGTAGACCCCAATTTGATGTTTTACTTCCCTTCCCTCTTCTTTCCTTCGAGATTGTAGGCTAGCCAGAAGCCCCTAGTTGGGGTGGGAGGCTGGAGGAGGGATGATAGAGCAGGCAGCCCCAAGGGGGCCCATTTCGTTTGAGGATCTTTGAAAGTTCACATGGGTCCTGAGGAGCTGGGCCACACCAAAGGGACTTGGGGGGGGGTGCTCTGGGGTCAAGGAGAGAGGGAAAGAGAAGATGGAGTAGTTTATCACCTTTTAAAGTGAGGAGTGAAGGTGTGATTAGAGTACCAGTAGAGAGAAGAAGGAGGAGAAAACTATTTAGTCCTGGAGCCAGGGAAGGAAACTTGGGCAGTGTGCTCTGTGTATACGCTGAGAAGAGAGAAATTGAAAAAGAGAAAGATTAAGAGATGCAGACATTAGTATAAATAATAAAGGCCAAAAGGAAGAATAAAGACAAAAAGTAGAGAAGTGGTCTCCTGTCCTAAACATCCTTTCTTCTCCAGTGAGTTGGTTCCCACGGGGCCAGCTCCCCTCTCGCCCTTCCCCCAGTCTTGACTCCTGGGACAAGAGACACAAGAAAGTCCCTTGACTTTTCCTGGACACCCACCCTGGGGGGCTTGCTGGATTCATGCATGTCCCCCTCCCCATCACACACACAAAAAAATCAACTAAACAGTAAAAACAAAAATTCTCCTTTCAGAAAGGGCAAAACGGCGGGCTCTTGAAAAACTGATCTCTGATCACAGTCAAGGGTCCTGCTTGGCTGTCCCAACACCCACCTGGCCCATCCAAGGACTGAGGACCTGGAAACTGGGAGGGAGTGGGGTGGGGGGACAGGACTGGAGGTTTGGCCCAAACATTGGGATTTCTCTCCCCTTTCTGATCCAGTCTGGGTTTTCTGGGGCCGTCTCCTTTCTGATTCACGGCTCAGCTTTGTGGCGATGGCAAAGCCCAGTAAAGTTCACACGCACCCTTCTTAAATATTAATAAAGACTTCCAAGTTGAAGTTGTAAACTGGAAATTGCTCACGAGGACAGCTCTTGGTGCCCTATCCCCAACCCCCACTTCTAATATGCCCCAGTGAGTCGGCAACAAAGGGGCCGGGAAGGAGAAGAGCTTCCCGCCTCTCAGAAGGCCCCCATAGACCCGACTCAGCAAAAGTGGGAGCAAAAGAAGGAAAGGCAGAGAAGGTTGGAGGAAAAAAAGAAGAAACGCCAGCAGTGCTCTCTCCCCACCCCGGTGTGTGGGTGTGTGTGGGTGGGTGTGGGTGGGTGTGTTACAGACCCTCTCCTGGACTGCTGCATCCAACTGGGAGAGACAGGTAAGTGCAGGACAGCCATGAGGGTCCTCAAAGTCCACGTGGGGGACAGGGAGGCAGCAGGCATGTCGCCTCCCCCAAACACTGCCAAGGGGCAGCAGTGCTGGGGCAAGAAGACTGTCACCAGAGGTGAGTTGAGTTCTGGGTTCAGTTCATGAAGCAATAAGTTCTGACTTCCACCTCATCATTGAGAAACAACCCCTGACCTGGCAATTCCCGTCCTCCCCGCTGCCCCGCCCCACCCCTTTTTGGGTACCAGAGCCAAAGCTGGGCAGAGTAGAGAAGACTTGATGGAGGGGCTGTGCTCTCTCTCTTGCAGCTTTGGCGGGGGAGGGGGGGCACAGAAGAAACAGGCAGAAGCAGAGGGGCCCAGTAGCCGTGCAGGTCTTCTGACAGATTAGATGTCTCTCTCAGTGACCTCTGTTTAGCAGACAATAACTCACCGGATGAATGACCAATCGGTGGAAGGCCTTCAGCATTGCCTCCAAATAGAAACCCCGGCCAGGCTGGGTCAGAGCCAGAGTCTGGGCCTGCCAGCCTTTTTGTGGCACTCTCTCCCCAACGAGATTTTGGAGAGAAGCTTTAGGAAGTGGATTATCATCTGACCTCGGGGCCAGAGCCTCTACTTTCTAGCTGCCCCAACAAGAGGTGGTTTCCCATTTCCTCCCAGAGCGCCCTTTCCAAGGCCAGGCACCTCCTCTTCCCTCCTGGCCTCTTCATATCCTGAGATCTACAAGAAACCCATAAGTAGCCCAGTGTAACTGGGAAGCCCCCACAAATTTGA